TATTCGCGTACAAGAAGATCAATCTTTCGACAGAATCCAGGAAAAAGATATTCGGTCACGGTACGTTTACGCGACTCGTTTTACATTCGCGCACGGTGTGCCATCTTTCGAAACAGTCACCTACGCGCAAGGCCGGTTTAGCCGAACAAGTAGCGCAACAACGTCTCGATCGTCTTGTTCCAGCTTTGATTTTCCGATCGGTGGTAGATACCACACTGTCACAGCACTCCTTGCCGTATCGTCCCGCCGAACAACGCGTAAAAGGCTGTCGCAGAAGTCGAAGAATTCTCGGGATCAGTGTCGCGAAAATCTCCAACGAATCGATCCACCAAGCGACGTAGAGATTGCAAACGCGTCAACTTTTTCGCATCGCGTTTCTTCCGATTCTCTTTGCACGATAGACGAGAATTTACGGCTGAGATTTCCAAGCCGGAAGAAAATAATTTTCCCCACCGTTCTTGGGACTTTTGCGCGAAACAGCACGTATACCTGTACACCGGTCTGCCTCATCGACCCCGTTCGTACATTCGTCGTAATTTCTAACGACACTCGGCTTCGCAATCGCGGGTGTTGCCTCTTCGCGCGTTCTTTCAGCGATGGTTTTCGTAGACGAGGTAGCACACGAGTGGCGAGCATCGTCACAGCGATACGTTTGTCTCTCCGAGCCATCAGTAATTCGTTTTTCCGTCCGTAGGCAAGAATTTTTCATCGTTGGTTGAGAATTTTCGGATTTTTCATTTCGTTCGGAATAAACTTTCCACTAGTTTGGACGGTTCTAGCTTCTCACGCGACGTTTCATTTCTCATAGCAACGCGTCAGCCAAGGGAATGCTCGTAAAACAACGGTCATTGAAAATACGGTATCTCGCAGCTTCGGGATTCGATCGTAACAGGTCTTGATATCAGGCTGTAAAACTACTCTCGCACTTATCGGGAGACGAGATCCGAATAATTTCTCAGTCGCGAAACTGAGTTTGCGGCACGGTACAATACGCGAGACAGACCCGTTTCCTTGGAAATCCTTGGCGAGGGATCTTTCGACGGAAGGTCATCCCGAAGGCGAGACTTTATCTTCCGCGTAACAGAAAGTCACCAAGGATCTCTCGCGTCTTTCAAACAGGTCTGTCCAGTACGCTATACGCGAGTATTTTGTCACTCCGCGAGAGACAAAATTGGACAGACATATGCCAAAATATCCATACATATCGCGACACACGCGCGTCACGACACAGTTGCGAACAGAATTGGGCGGCTATTTGCAAAGGGCGACTCGACCGCAAAGGAAGTCGCAACGTTCTCTCCTCGTTGTCAATTTACAACGTCAGCTTTGCCTCAACTCGTAACAACACAATCATCGTTACGTCGTATCGATGCTTTTCCATTTCTCACGCGCATCATCGTCGCACGCACGCACGCACGCACGAACAAACTTTTCGTTTCACTCGAGCGATTCGAGAGTCAGTCGGTCGTCGACGTCGCGCACAGTTTGTCGCGAAAATACTTGGAATTCGAAGATTCGAGCGGTGTATTTTGCATTTGAAACAAACAAATACAAACGACAAGGAACAAGGACGTACGTCACGTCACGCCACGCCAGAGCCTATAATTTCCAGATTACGTAAGAACGTAAAAATTTTGTATCTCTTACACGCGATACGACGATATGGTTTAAACAATAAAGAGAAACTGAAGATGACTCGATTCTCTCGCGTATAATTCACACTCCGACATTCCGTCGTACCTTGGCTCTGCACATCTCGCAGCACGTCAACGACAATCACAACTGTTACCAAGAACCGTCGCGTACGAAACGCGCGACGCGAAACTCTTTGGACGAGATGGATGTTTCTTCGCGAGTCTTCTCCGATCCACCTTTCCATCGCGTTCTCTCTCTCCGTCCCCTCTCGCAGAATCGTCTTTGCATTCGATCTACCCTCGTTCGTTGCATCCGTCGGTCTCTCTCTAGAAATTGTTTCAACCTCTCTTTCGTTCTCGAGACGTATTCGAGACGCATTCTCTATCAACGGACGAGGGAACGACAAAGTTGTCCCGCTTCTGTCGCAAATGTC